GCATTGAAAAATCTCAAAACTAAAGAAGCAACTAGAGAATTTGTTAACGAGGTGATATATTATTAATTGTTGCTTCCAATGTTTTGTTTCAATCTAATAAATCATAATCATTATCATTATAGCTTAAACAACTGCGTTCTATTAAATTTCATCCTAATGTTAACCAATTCTATGGAACTACGATAGGGATCGTTAATAATACATATTGTATTCTTAAATTCCTTAAATTATAATTCTAGCTTTTATATAATAATTTAGATCCTGAAACGAAAGATTTATGTTGGTACTGCAGTTTGCCAATGAAGAAAACTTGCGACAATATTTAAAAAGCAAATGGTATGAGGGCGTTTTTAAAATTTCATTGAAAGAAATTATCAAAATTGCAACAAATTACTCTTGGGTTAATGAGTTTGCACAATAGTAATATAATCTCATTGCGACTTAGTAAGCATAAAAAATTTTTATTATTTATATTAATGATTTAATAATATTTAATAATATTTAGCATCCTAAAAATATATTAAAAAATAATGACAAATTCTTAATTGCAGATTTTGGTTTAGCAAGAAAAGTAAATGATAGCTTTATTTCGTGCACCAGCATATTGACCCGCAATGCCATATCAATCCTGGAAGAAAACATGACAAAAAATCGGATATTTATAGCTTAGGTGTAATATTTTGGGAGCTTGCAAGTGAAACTGCCTCATTTGAAAGCGCTAATACACGAGATAAAGTTGTTATTATTGTCAATATTGCATGGCTACTGAGAAGATACAATTCCTGGTACGCCACCTAATTTTTCTGAGCTTTATAAAAAATGCTAGGATATTGATCCACAGAAACGTCCAACAGTAAAAGAAATTTTGGAGGCTCATGATAAAATATCAAAAGAAACATTTGTGGAGTTTATTACAAATCCAGAAATGGCACATGCAATTCATTTTCTGTCGGACCATCTGTACAGATGTTAAACGAACTTGGCTCAAAAAAAAAAATCTTAATCTTTTTCAGACGATGTGATTGAACTAAAAACTCAAGGGTTAATTTGTTATGAGGCGAATGATTATGAAGGATCTCTCAATTTTTTTAGTACTATAAATCATTGAAAATTAATCCTGATTATATATATTCATTAAAATTCCGAGGATTAGCCTTTTTTAAACAAAAAAATTACGAAAAATCCCTTCAAATTAGTGAGTATTATTGATAATGATTTAGTTTCGCTAATAAATCGAGAACGAATATACTATATGTTAGGCCGTCATGAAGAATCTCTTGTAGATTTAAATAAATCATTAATAATAGAATCAGACGATGCCATCGCGCTAAGATCTCGAGGACAAACATTGTATATGCTAAAACGTTATAAAGAATCACTTGCCGATTTAAGTAAATCCTTAGAAAAGGATTTAAATGACCCTGATTCACTAAGATCACGAGCACAAACTTTATATATGTTAGGGCGCTATGAAGAGTCTCTTTCTGATTTAAATAAATCATTAGAGCTTGATTTAAATAAATCATTAGGGCTTGATTTTAATAATGCGATTACATTATCAAACATGTTACATGCTAAATCTTTTCGAAGAATCTATTGTAGATTTAAATAAATCATTGGAAATTGATCCGAATAACGCAATTACATTAGGATATCGGGGGATTAACTTTTTACAAAATGAAGAAATATGAAAAATCCCTTAACGATTCGACAGATTCATTGAAAATTGATCCAGAAAAACACCACTGCACTATGGATTCAGAGACAATCTTATTTTAAGTTAGAAAAATATGAGAACTTCTAATAAGCTTAACAAATTATTAGAAAATGTTGATGCATTAAAAACTAGAGCGCTAGCATACTATATGCTTGGTCATCATAAAAATTCATTTGAAGATTTAAATAAAGCAATAAATATTGATGAAAAAAATGCAGAGCTTTTAAGACTTCGAGGACTGGTTTATTATAATTTAAGAAATTATAACAAACCAATTGAAGATTTAACAAAATCATTAGGCATAGAGCCAAATAACGCATTTGCACTAAGATCCCGAGTAAAAACGTATTATACGTTAAATCAATAGAATTTGCAAATACCCTAAGTTTACGAGAACAAACATATTACGTGCTAGACAAGCATGGAGATTCTCTTGCAAATTTAACTAAATTGCCACAATGTCTTATCATCAAGTAAAGATATCTTCAAGGATTAATCATCGAAACTCCTTATAATGTATATAACCCATATGAATATAAATTGATTTTAAAGCTAGCATAAATGGGATTAAAGTCGATGATTTTATAAGAAATGTAACAATGAATGCAAACCGTTGTTGTATTGAAGGCCCGTTCAACCAATGAAATTCTCGGAGGATATAACCCTCTTATATGAAAAAAAAAATAGAAAGTATAAAAAAAACAGATGATGGTTTTATTTTTAAATTTTCTGATACAATTAGTAGAGTAGTAAATGCTGATAAGGCAATTTATTATGATGATTGTTCTGGCCTGTCGTTTGGTAAAAGAGATCTTTCGTTACAATGCAATATGGTTGTAAATGATAAGTGGTATTGTAAAAAGAAAAGTTATAGTGAACAACTTCGCTCAGTGATGGTTTTTTTATCGCTAATAATTATGAAGTTTATAAAATTGGAAGATATATTTATTGAGGTTGCCATTTATCACCACTAGTGATCATCATGATCTCAAAACCTACTAAGTAAACGGGATCGGGTACGCTAAGTAAACCCCTGAAAACCTCACGAAAACTAAAATCATGACCTTATATCTAATCTACATCATATTGTATAAAACTCCTCCTTTATTTTAAAACTGTACCCTAACCCCTATATAGTGTTCAACGCCATAGATGCATTTTATAATTTTATTCAAAAGGTTACTATTTCTAATTTTGTGAAAATAAGCGGTAAATATGGGCTTGGTGCTGCAAAAAGGGGATTAAATTAACAAAACAAAAGTTCTTCGGAAAATGAATTTTTATATTATAATAAATCATTAAAAAAATACAAACTTTAAAGAGCTATACTACAAACCTTAATATAAAAGATTCTAATCTTATTTTAAATTGATTTGTGCTGTGCAAAAAAAAATTAGTTTGAAAATTTCTCCCCTTTTTGCAGCACCTAGCCCATATAAATATAGAATGGGTGACACCTTCTGGCAAAGTTTCCAGAAACAAAGAATTAGCTAAATCACATAATTGAAAAATGTGGCACAGCACTACTTAATATATGCAATCAGTAATTACACAATACTAATTGACCATTAAGTAGCTCTGTGCCACATTTTTTGATTACATGATTCGCCTAATTCTTTATTTCTAAAAACTTTGCTTGAGGTGTCATCTATCCTATATTTAATTTTTTTTGGGCTACTCGAAGTTAGTTTTCGTTTTGCATAACCTGCCGACCCAATTTTTCAAAGAAATTTTTTCGAAAGTTCCAATTGTTCCAATTATTCTATTTATTTTCATTTTCCATAAATTTATCCGGTATCACCCGATGGTGACCTTGATTTTCCAATAGGTCCGCTAAAAAAAAAAATTTCCAAATTTTCTGATTCCATGTTATGCAAATGAATAATTAATTTGCGTGGCTTTGGATATGAAAAAAAAAAAAAAATCTGATCCGCTGACTGGAGTTTCGACACCAGGTCATGTAAAACGAAAAATTAATTTTGTGTGGCCTTACTCCTTTATACACTCTTATTTTACCAATTTTTCTTTAATTAAAAATTACTTTTACTTATACAATTTTTTTATATTAAACTAAGTAAATTTCTTCTACTGAGTAAAGTTATTTAACTTTTTATTAATGACTTTTTTTTAGTATATACGTATTTTAATACAAAAAATTGATTTTTATACCAAAATACAGCAATCATTTAAACAATCGAAATATCTATGTATTTTATTTAATAAAATATTCTTACATATTTGGTATATTATAATTATCTTCTAAAATAATTTATCAAGTTATATTCAAAATAACTACTAAAAACCCTTTATAAATGTATACCCTCTTTAAATGTACCTCAAGTTCGGGCCCAAACATACATATGACTCTATAAATGCACTTTTTCATATTGCTCTTTAATTGCACGTTTTTAATGCTTGGTTCCAAGTGAGTGCACTTATAGAGGTTTTATTGTACTAGCATTAATTTTACATTTGGAATACTGTAAAAAAAGTTGTATATTATATTATAAATCTGATGTGGAAAATTTTTTGTATTTGACTAAATTAAATGAAAACATTTAGAAAATTATTAGAAAGAACAACGTCTTATAAACATTTTTCAATGTAATACCTTGAAAATATTTATAGATCTTCCTGTGCATCGCCTATATCAATCCCAAATCTCGTCATCACAAAAATGGTAAAACCAGTACTTAAAATATCGGCATAAATATGTGTTTTTTAAATTTAAATAATTGTTGGTTTTATAATAAAGGCGTATTATTCGGTATAAGCCAATTGCCGCAAGCTGTAATATATCAATTGTGAATAAAATTATTTGGTATACGAACTCCCTCCTTTTTTTTAATATTCTTTTCATTGTTCATTATTTTAAAATATGGACTCTGAAGTAATATAATAAAGCCGAAAAATATGCACAACTATCTCTCGTATATTCAACACAATAGGAATTAATAAGCATTCCGGATGATCATGATTGAAATATGCACCTACGCAATTTGTAGTATCAAAAATATTGACGGCTGCTAAAAGAATTAACTCTGTAATGCGTACGCTAATAATTATTCCGTGAAAATATTTAAATTCAAGTGTTTTATAGAAGTAACAAACAGATTTACACCGTAAATATGCAAGATGTATCAAAACAGCTTTGGCTATCAAATAAAATACTGTTCTGATGTCATCTGCAATATAGCATGATGTCAAATAATACCTATTTGTACAAAAACTTCGACAATTAGGTCTTGTTATGTAAAACCAATTTGAACAGTTTGAACCAAATATGTCTGGATCTGAACAATATTCAGACGCCACTATCATTAAAGGCGCAACAAATTCGACAATAAGGGCTGATACAGTATATTCATAAGACAAAAAAGCTCTACACTTTTTATTGTACCATTAGCTGTGTCTATTATTAACATTCGAAAGAATGATTCTAATGTAAGAATAAGGGCTGCACCAACAAATAATGCTGAGGTAATGTTAAATTGTGCCAACTCCATATGATTAGTTACAATGATTATACGTATAGCGCTTAGAAAATTAGCAAGCGATAATAGATGAAAAAATCAGTAAGAGATAATATAGATGAAAAATTAGCGAGCGATAATAGAGATGTAAAATCAGCAAGTGATAATAGAGATGAATGAATACAATGAACAAATTTATACTTTTTCCATGTTAATAAATTTGATGATATGGATATAGTTATTATTCTACATACGAACGCACTAGTAACTGACGGAAATTGTTCTCCAGTGTCAATTACACAAAATCAAAAGTTTTGCTATAAATGTTACGTACATGTGCAAGTGTCAAAAGAAAGTTTGTAAGAAAAATTTATCATATCTGGCTAATATGTTTCATTTTTATTACTGATATTCAGGGTTTATAACACTGCTATCCGTGGATAAGAATCTATTAAACTCCGATGCTAAAACCAACTCTTTAAAATACTGTAAGGCGAAATATGAAATTATTTTAATCTTGCGTACGTACGTACATACTACGTACGCATGTAACAATTCTGATTTTTGTGTACGCTATATATATTATAAAATAAGTTTTTTGTGTTATTGTCTATACTACTTTATTATACTCCTCAAAACATTGATAGTACGTCGTACGTATGCACATTCGCACGTACAGTATAACTTGGGCGCATTGCAATAAATAAATAAATATTTAAAGCAGATAAATTAATTCCAGAATTGCAGTTTAAGTTTCTTTGATAATTTCGCATTATAGAAATTAATTGAATATTTTTACTTTTTTAAGTTTCTTTATAATTTTATAGTGAAACTACACTACGGTCCGTTTTCGTAAATTCTTTAATAATTTCAAATTATGGAAATTATACATAATATTAATACTACAGAATTTACAAGAAATTGTAAAAGGAGGATTTGTGATTGTATATAAGTCAGAATGGAGATTTAGAGATCCAGTTGCTTTAAAATGCTTGAAAGCTAATACCCAATTCAAAATATAAAAGCCATATCCGATTATATGATTGAATACTTGCTGGAAAATTCTTTCCAATTCAATTTACCTGATCAATAATTTTTATACTCGCTATCCATATTCGGTTATTGTATAATGCTTGTTGTCATAACATTATTAGCTTATACGAAGCTACTAGTAGTAATGAATATTTTTTTAGGAATAATTGGTATACAGCACTAATTTATATAACCAATGTATAAAACAAAGCAGATCCTCATAATGGACGGCCTTATATGTATTACAATTTGCTGTGACAGAAATCGAAATATGGTATAGTGTAAAAAATAGAAAAGCCACCTAAAAATAAATTTTTGGGGTGCATTTTTTAAGGTTAGAGGTTAGGTTTAGGGTAAAGTTTTTAATAAACAAATATTAGTAGGTTTTAGAGGGCTAAATAGAACCCACATTTTATTTTAATTTAATCTCATTTGATTTGTGATTTATTATGTTGTGCTTGAATTTGCCAGTTGACCTGACCAAGATTAAGCCATTTTTGAAACTAAGGTAAATATAGGCAGATGCTATTTCAATTTTAACATATTTCTTTAAATGTAGCACTAGTGTTTGGGAAATAGAGACTGGATTATCTGAATCTAATTTCGGTCAATGGATCAGAGTTTTTTTAGATATCCAGATAGGACCCAGTAGCAGCTGTTTTCATAATTTCCTGAACACTTAATGCGAATGATTTTTTAGTTGATCCAGTTAAGTTAGTGATTTTGGCACAATATATTGATATCAATATATATATTTTAAGCGGAATTGCTGGAAAAATGAAATGGGTTGGATAGTTACCACTCAAACCACACACACAAAAACTAACTACTATACAACAAAATCAAAATAAGGGTGAGGCAAAAGAGATTTGGCAAGGCAAGGCAATTTGGTTTGTTGTGAGTATAATTTATTATTATGAGATACACAAATGAGAAATGCTTAGAGCTTAAGCGAACTGTTTATTTAAACAAACTAAAGGTTTTATTTTTCGAGTTTTGAACTTCACTGCCTTTACAACTTGAGCGAATCGCTACTCTATTTATACAGAATGAAAGGAACGAAAAAAAAACAAAAAAGAAATTAAAAGAATACAAGGTTTCACATTATTGTTACCAATTTCTACACAATTGTTTTTCTCCACTAACAGCTATACCTTTTACCCAATTTGCTTATCACCCATTGACAATTGTTAGATCATCATTTTTTTTTTGGTTTTGCCTAGTTCTTATCCATGGAAAGATGGGTTTCTTATGGACTTACTGATTATGTTTCATCTTTTTCTTACTATGGTCTTGGGATTCTTTTAGCCATGATTTAGCACAACTTGGCATGTTTTAGCTATAATCTACCCTGAAGTCTTGTGTGGCAATTGTCTGGCTATCATTCAATTTGGAACTATTTATGTTGAATTTTTTCTAAATTTTTATTTCATCTCTTTAATTTTATACAAATATCTAGCTATTATCCAGCTGTAATATTTTTTAAACAACTACTAATCCAAATAGAATTAAATTTTTACTGTAGATAGTTATAATATTTGACTACAATATATTAAAATTTTAGCTAAATTGGATTAGCAGCTGTTAAGAATTGCTTAAAAACTACAAACAATTATTTTAATTAAATTATATATATTTAATAATTTTTTTAAGAACCACCAATCCAAAGTGGTTAAAATTTTAATATGTTGTCACTTCACATTATATCTATCTACAGCAAAATTTTATCCAATTTAGATTAGTAGTTGTTAAGAAAATTATGGCTGGATCTATATATATAATATATATAGAAGTAATAAACTATTAACTTCTCTTTTTCTAAAAAATTATATGATTTCTGGCACTTTCCTAGCAAGGCTTCTTATTAAAATAATAAGATGATCAGAAAATAATTACAAGACTAAATTTATTTAAGTGAGAACTTTAAATTTTTATTTCAGTTTTTACTTTACTGTATCTATATAGGTAGACAAAGTAATTATTTATTATATAAAAAGATAAATTACTATGTGACAATTTATTAATAATATGCTAAATTGTTATATTGATATAATTTTTATAATAAGTAATTATTTTGACTCTACAATATCATAATAATTCAAATATATTTAATTTACCTTTTACAATACACTATAATTACCAGAATAGTAAGCTCTGTAACAGAATTTTTATAGTGACTCATAGTAAAAGTCACAATAATTCAATACAAACTAATCTATATATTTGCGATTTTACATTAAATTATAATAAAAAATAAAAAATATAAATTTCAGTATAAACTAAATTAATATATATAATAATTACTAGAATAATAATTACTAGAATAATAACTTCAATAATAGAATTTTAAAATATTATTATAATACTATAGTATGTATTTTGAACTTAAAATACAACAAGTTAAAAGCTTATAAGAGTTTTTTTAGTATCTAGATTTTCCTTAAACATCTTGATCGTTCGTTTATTGTTTTTTTTTTTTGCATTTAGTACTTGTATATAGTCAATAAAGATAATAATAAGTTAGTTATTGTAATAAAATAATAAAATATTTACTTCTAAGTGAAGTTCTTAAAATTACTAATAATTTTTAATTATTTTTGTATAGTGAATTTTGACATTCTTTCGAAGCTAGAAATGGCTTTTACAATGCTTTTTGTTAGTGAAATGTTACATTCTCAAAAAGTACTTTAAACTATATAAATAGATTACTTGGGTAATTGATTTACATCAACCAATCATATGGAATTATACTGGCTTAAAAATTATATAAAATCCAATTTACTGAATTTACATAAAAAATTTAAATATGCTACAATAATAGATACTGGCCAAGTTTAAATTTTTATTTGTATTTTCATTTACAATTAAGCAAGTATTACCAAAAAAATCAAGTAAAAATATATAAAATATTAAATACAAGTTTAGAGAACTTGTCAATAACCATCTTATCAAGAATCTATATCTAACTATAAACAAAGCCAACCCTAATCTAATTAAATTGGTTTCACACTTCTTCTCTTCAGGTATATACATAAATAAAAATATATAATTACTGTAATTATAATAAATAATATATTATCCA